GCACCTGTCTCTGCCCTTCCAGTGCTGAGGTTTCCAAAATGCACAGCTGCATGGTTAATGGAGATCTAAATGCAGACGCTTATGCGTGTGTGGCAAGCACTCTGCCAGTGAATCCATCTTCCCAGATCCTTAATATTTTTTAAAAAATGTAAATGCTCTAGCATCTTTGCTTGTATATATTTGTTTGCTGTACTAGATTATGCATCTCTGCTGACACTGAAGCAAACCAGAACTGTTAGTGAAACCGGAGTGCGCTGCTTCACTATGCCTTCTTTGCAGTAAAGGTATCTGACTTGCTTTAGAAAACTCCAGTTTCCAGCTGTTGGGCACGTATTAAGCCAGCCTGAAAAGACTAGTAATTTAGCAAAGAGGTAGACAGTCTTAACATGGGGGCAGAAATCACGTTTTCAAACTCCCCAGAAGTGTTCAAAGCAGCAGTTAGTGATAGAAATAATTCAAACATTAGGCAAAATAAGGTAGGTCATCATCTGAGGGTCTGTTACACATGGTCCTGATCCTGCTTTAATAAAAGTAGCTTCTAGAGAGATGGCTTTAGTGGCAAAGAACATATGATGCTCTGGTGGAGGACCCAGGCTGATTCCCAGCAGCCACATTGGGCTGATTATGTGTGCCTGTGGCTCCAGCTCCAGCGGATCCAATCTCTTCCTCTGGACTCTTGTGCACCCCTCACATAACTCAAAATAAACTGACATTGTATAAAATTTAAAAATAATCAAACCAACTCTACAGGGAAGAGAGAGAAAGCAGCAGAAGTCTGGGATGCAAGAGCCATCCCCAGGGCTATAGAAAAGGAAGAGACTTTGCCTTCTCTAATGTACGGGTAAGAGCAAAGGCAAAGACAAAGGCATTGGACGGAATTACTCCAGGCGACAAAGGCTACTATGTCATAGTTAGAATCCTGTCTGCTCCTCATCAGCCCTAGCTAGGATCCAAGGAAGGCAGGAAAGTGGCTAAGTGGCGAGCAGTCAAGGCTGAATGCTGGTGTTATCATTTGCTAACTCTGTGACCTCCCTATGCCTCAGTGTTTGAATCTATGAAATGGGGGCTGGAATGTGATCTACCTTCCGGTCTTATGGCATCTACCTTACAGGGTTGTATACCACAAGGGTAAAGGAGCAAAGCATTTGGTTCCCAGTGGCATAGTTACTGCTAAAGCAATGATAGGTACCATCATATCTATCAATAGATAGATACGCTGTCTTGGAAAATGGCGTACCACTGTAAATGAGCCTTTCGATGATTCACTTCCCACTTAGGGAAAACAATTTCATTATTTCCTGGTAAAGACATGGGTGTTTCTACCAGTGACATGAACTGCATTTGTAAAATTTTGAAGGTAATTAAAAGAAAATGAACATAAAGTCAAAATTAAATCAATGTTGACGCAGTAACATTTTCTATTTGGGGTAGAGATCGCATGCCGGTGGCACTGAGGTGTCTGGCAGGAGCTGCTCAGAGCAATAACTACAGGCGAGGAACAACATCAGAAGTGACTCCAGACTTGAAAATGGAGAGAGGGCTCCGTGGTTAAGAGCACTGACTGCTCTTGCAGAGGACCAGGTTCAGCTCCCAGCACTCATGAGGAGGCTCACAACCATCTCTAACTCCAGTTCCAGGATGGCACTTTTGACCTCTGTGAACTCCGGCACATACACCACACACACACACACACACACACACACACACACACACACACACACACGCGGTTGCAAGCATGTACACATACACACGTGCACACCCACACTAAAATAAAATAAAACTAAATAAAAATGTTTAGAAGGGTTCAGTGAGTACCCACATAACTCTTGGACATGTTTCTCGACTCCTTCCTGCTGCTCTCCTGAGCTCACAATACAACAGACTAGCCATGCAGAACAATGTCTAACCTAATGGGGCTTGTTTTAGTAGCTGGTTTAGAGATAAATAAAGGAAACTACCCTTTACACAGCTGGTTGCTAAACAAATAGAATTCATTGCCCCAAAGGGGACTGTGCCTAGGTTGAAGAAAGACTTTAAATAAATCCACAGATAATGAATATACCAAGGGCGAGTTAGGAGTGCTCGATGCACGCGCCTTAACCGTGAGGCTGATGTTAATAAGGGTAACTTGGTTCTTCCAGTGGATGACAGTTAGTGTGCTGGCCTGGGTAGACACTTTAATTTGACACACCATGGAATCTCTTACGTTCTAACAGAGGGCCAATGACGACCTGTGGAGCAGTGATATGTGGCAGTGCTTGCTCGGCTGATTAAATGGATTGCCTGTGGTTTTGAAAAGCTTCCTCCCCTTAATATTCACATTGGAATCCACTGGGTGGCATGGATATTACCTTAAGGGTCACTCTTGCACACGATGTTAATGCATCAGGCTCTCATTTGGAAACCTGTGGTCACTCAGCAAGACAGAGCCTGTCTCTCTGCCTTGCTGTAACGATCTCTCTCGGGGTAACTCCTTGCAGGCTCCACACATTGAAAGTCGGAGGCTGCCTCTAACAACATGGTCATGATTCTCTGCATGGCTGAGTGAGATAAGCAGTTAAGTAACCGCTAATCTTTCGAAAGCACCAGGGTCTACTTAGAGAAATCCCTGTTGTCTGCAAGAATGGAAACAAAATCAGCATGGAGGAAGCATTAGTTGCTAACCATAAATCAATCTCTTTCTCCACCTAGCCATATGCTCTGCTATTGTCAGAGATTTCAGGGCAATGTGTCTTCACTAGGTAGGTGCGAGATGGGATTTGTGACGAGCAGGGAGGATGAGCTGGGAGGTGGAAGGAATTAAAGAACTCATTGAAGCTCCTACATATAAATCAAGCCGCCCTCTAATGGATGAATCTCACAAACACTGAGCCAAACATTCAATACACTGTCTTTGACATGAGGCTCACAAATATGCAAAATGAACTCACACTGGGGGCAAGAAGTGGGAGAAAGGCTGCGAATGAGGCAAGACTGCCATCAAGGGCTGGAAACCTAAAAGTGGATTTATCTTGTCTACAGTGACTCAGCTTTGATTGTGGACACCACCATGTATGCGACTTCATAATGTGGAGGCTTTTCTAAATGTGTGTTAACACAAGGTTCTTTTTAAACACCCATGCTATTTTCTCGATGATTTGGAAGACAATTAGTTTGGCATTTCCAATATTTACCACAATTCATTTGGGTGAGTCTTGTCTTGATTACCTTGATATTCTCTGACTTAAGAGTCACGGAATCTGAACACCATAAAAATTTCCATTTGTTTTACTAGTACTAACCTGCTCTACTATATATGAGAAAAATCAATCAAACAACTTTAGACCTAGTACAAATACTTCAGCAGACAGCCAAACTCACAAGCACATTTGAGTTTAGTTTTATGGAGACAGAAGCAGAATACTGCTACTTCCAATACTTCTACTTTCTTCTCTGCTAGAACAAGCTGTGCAGGCTGGAGTAGACCAACAGTGTATCTAAGGCAGCCTGCCTTGGCACCTCTTCCTAGCTTTGCAACACAGACACATGATGTCTCATGTCCTTTCTCTACACTTCATTCCCCCATGGACAAAGTGAAGAAGGGAGCATGTGAGTGTTTCATGGGGTTTGAGGGGAGATGATATGTGGGATTATCATTGTCGAAGCAAAGACTGAAATGTACCCCGATAGAGATGGTGGCAAAGACGGTCATCCGCACATGGCGGGTACACAATATGCGGAAGAGAAACACGGATGACAGGAAGGACGATGAGCCAGATTTGTAAGGACCACACCCCCACCCCGCAAAGAGACTCTAGTGAGCTGAAGACAAGTTTCAGGGGGAGGGGCCTCTCAGTGTCATATGGAAGGAATGGATAAAATGCACTTTTTGTCCATGAGCAGGAGGGAAAGCTACTGTAACCTTGGGAGATGGCTCAGTGGGTAAAGTGTGCTTGCCGCGAAAGCTCAAGAACCTGAGTTGTCTTCACTACCCACAAAAAAACTGGGTCTGGTGGTGCATCTCTGTAAGGCAAGCGCTGGGGTTGGGGGATGGACAAAGACAGGTGGATCATGGCACTAGCTTCTTGCCCACTAGTCTAGCAGAGGTGGTGAGTTCCGGTTTCAGTGAAGACAGAGTATCAAAAAGTAAGACAGAGAGCAATCTAGGAAGACAAGCTAGCATTGACTTCCGACCTCCATAGGTATGGATGGACAAGTGTACATGCACACCTACACGCATATACCATAAACTCACACACACACACACACACACACACACACACACACACACACGGGGGGGGGTGTTGCGTCTGGCAATGAACTTGCAATCCTGATGGTTAGGTCATCCTAACCTAGTCGTGTTGTAGTTTTGTAGTCTGACAGTTCTAATGAATATATGTGTATTCCTCAATAGACCCAAAAGACTGCTTTTGAAATTCTTAGGTATTCCCTGATTATAATTAGAGATTCCGCTGCCTGCTTTTTTTTTTTTTTTAAGTTTAGATGTTTTTCTTTTAAATTGTTGGCAGAAATGTGTCCATGAAGCTGGTTTCATTTGAAAGAATGAAAGGTTTGGCTTAGGGAAAGGCCAGATTACTATTCCCTACAGGATCTCCATGGCTTGTGTGACTCCTCAGTTGTTCATGTCACCACGTTCAGTGAGTCACTGAAAGTCACACTAGGGGAGACTTTTGGAAACAGCAGAGAGAATGAGATACTGTAAGAATGACTGTTGACGTTTCGAAGGGACATGAAGAAAAAGAAACTTCAGAACAAAATGATTGTCGCTTCTAAAGATTGGAGAGAGAGGTTCTTAAATTTAGGAGTTTGCTGTGTCATTTCTCAGAAACACTTAGCCATTACTTTAGGAAGTCAGGGCCTGGGATAAGAAGTGCACTGGCATATTGACTTAAACACAACTTTCTCAACCCCTCGGGCCAATACAAACACTTCATTAAGGAACACCCCCAGCATCTGCAGGAAGGATTAGGAAGAACCGTTTCCTCTGGCAAGCTCACCTTTTAGCTTTTGCTGAGATGGGCACCAAGCTTCTCTTTTCTGATCAGACTTGCTGCATAGGGGATCTGTAAAATAGAAACAAACATGACCATCAAGCTGGAGACACATACTTAATGGAGAACCGTCATCGCCCCTAACAACTTGAATGCCCTTGGATTTTCCCTGCTGAGAGTCGCTCTGCTCAGCTGTGTGAGGCTGCCGGGTACAGCTCCAGCCTGCAAAGTGTGGCAAGGACAGGACGAGCAATCACACACCAGGTTGTTGCTACCGCTAATCACTGAGGTTACCCGGAGGCGTTTTCTTTGTAAAAAGGTTTTAAGGTCTTTGTGTTTAGCAGTATGGTATTATTGTTATTGGAAAACTGAATTACAATGTTGAAATAGGTCCAAGGTCGCAAAAGATGAATGCGATTGCAAACTTGTTCAAGATAATCATGCAGTTTAATTAGAGTGTTTTCTTTATAAAGCTGTCATTGTGGATTACAAAGAGGTCTAAGCATAAATTATTACTTTGGGTCAATTCTCAATTACTGATGAAGGGAATTAGAAACAAGTGCACTGGGTGGGAGGCACGACCTGAGAACTCTGTCTGGGTGGACCTGGAAAGTGTTTCTGAATGGTGGATTGTGAATGAAAGCCTACCACATTTGATACGCGACGTTTCATTAGAAAATTCACATGCCTGAGAGAGACACATGCATTATTTACATTCGCATTCCTGCTAACCCGGTCAGACAGCTCTGCCATTGTTTTATTCTAACCCTGATCAAGCATCTCTGTCATTGTGTTACCTGCTTGCATCAATAGGAGGTTAAATTTAGAACTCTAAATTTGCATCTATGTTACATTGGAGGGAATAAATATTCAGCCCTTTTTGATATTTTATTTATTTCTATTTTGCTTTATGGTTGTTGTGTCTGCTTGGTATATCTCTGCACCAACTGCATGCAGTACTGAGGAAGCCGGAAGTAGATCAGATCCCCTGGGATTAGGATCGGGGTTATGCTGGGACTTGAACCTGGGTCCTTTGGAAGAACAGCCAGTGATCTTAACAGTTGAGCCATCTCTCTCCAGTCTTTTAGACTGTAACCCAAAAATATGACTGTTATATAAAATCAGTAAGGGAAAAAACACAATCATTTTCCTTCAATTAAATAATACTTCTCTCCCTCCATCCTTCCATCCCCCCTCTTCTTCCTTTCCTCCCTTTCTCCCTCACCTTTCTTACTTTCTTTCACTTGTACCTCAGGCTGAATTCAAACTCGTGATCCTCCTGCCTCAGCCTGCCAAGCACCAGAATTAGAGGTGTGCACCAGCGTACTTAGCTTTGGAATATTTTAATAATTCTATGGTACACATCTCCCCACCCCAGAATTTTATTGGGTATCTGATTTGCTTTCTTGCTTCACTGGTTCACATACGAGCCTTTATTAATGGAGAGAGCCTGTGAGCTTACACGCACGTGGTGGCTCAGACGATAAGCAGATAGACCTTGTCACTTGAATCAAGCAGGACTTTAATTGACAAAAGGAAGATGAAAACAAGCACCTCACCACGATGGCACATCACATATTGGATAAAGCGAAAGCAGCAGCATTGAAATGAACGATTCACACGACAGCAGAAAATGCTCAGCGCTCTAACCTCATGTTTTAGGACAAGGGTTAAGATCATCATCTCGAGAGCTATGACAAGGGCAGTTAGGTGGGGACCTATACCATCTCTTCTTGTAGGAGGTTATGCTATATCTGCTATTCACAGTGACAGATGAGGATTTCCCATTCTGCTCTAGGCCTCAAACAACACAGGTGGCCTCTCTTGTCAGCTGCATTGACAGGAGAGTCCTGAATGGGATTTTATTATTCCGGGCAGCAAGATCTGATGCAAACCCCTGAGCGTGAGAGTGAATAGTGAGATGCGCTCGTCCCATTTTCCTGCTCACAAAGGGCATTTAAAATGATGGTTAGATGCTGCAGGACTTGGTAAGGGTCTGTTGCATCCCAGGCACCATAGGAGAGACATTCACACCGCCTGGACCACTCTCCAAAGTGAGTAAACCACATCCCGACCCGGAGAAAACCACAGGAGTGATGATGCTTTTGCAGCCAAGTCACATGTCTCCCCGTTCACTGTCCCTCCGTTCTTTCCCTCTCTTGCTCACATCTTATCTAGCTGAAAAATAAAGAGGTGTGTGTGGGGGAGGTGTTTCAAATAACTGCACCAGATTCTTAGAGCTCCAGGTTAGAACTTAAATTGCCGCAGAGTGTTGTCCTCATACAAACGCTGGGTCCCACCTGTGTTTCCGTGGAACAAGGACTAAATGAAAAGCAGGCAATAACAAAAACAACGAGCAGAAGCATCTGGGCCACCGCTGTATGCTTTAAATTCCAATCCCTGAATCATAAATGATAAGTAAAGATGATAAAACAGCCCACTTGTTGCCGAGAGCTGTGTTATTTTACTGGTTCCAAGACACACTTTCCCCTGCACATTTTAACGTCTCTGGAATCTGTGGTTTCTTAGAATTAGAGTTAGAAGCTTTTCTTCTTTTTGAGTCATTAGGCAGTGGTGCCTTGTACCGTCGATGACTTCTAAGATTCTATATAACATAATATTATATTTACAGAGGTCAGCAAATACTCCTGACTTGGGAGTTTCATATTCTAGAGACTATGTTTAAGCTAGTCATTCCTGTGGAAGTCTACTACAGAACTTACAAAAGCTTTCTTTCCAGTTTTACCACTGTGGAAATCACCAAGGTTTAGAACACTTTGAAATGTTACCTACTTTATATCTTACCCAGCTGACCCTAATAGGTCAAAAGTAGTGGGGTCTCACTGATAGAGATTTCAAGTTTGTGTTGCGGGAGAGTTGGTTTGAGCTCAGATACTCAGATGAGTCGATATCTCAAAGCCAGAAACATGAGAAGAATGCCCCAGGATGGAAGGACAATGGAGCCATTGTCAAGACACAGGGCACTTGATTACTGGTGGAAAAAAGATGCATAGCATCAAAGTCTGCCTGCTGCTATAGAATCTGGCGGAAACATCTATGGGAGGTCAGAGTTTTCATCAAGCCCAAAGCTTGCAGGGACCTTCTTACCACATATGCTTAGTCACGAAAGCAAAGCTGCTTAAAAAGCCTGGAGATCTTTTTGTAAAAGCACAAGACAGAAACGGTTCTATTCGCATTTTAGGAAGAAGATAGACAATGCAATTTAAAGAACTTTCCGGTTTGAGTCTGGGGACATTTTGTCAAGTTCCCATCCCAAAGAATACTGGACGCTGTCCGAGGAAAGACAGTTATCACTAGGAAGCTGTGTCCCTGCCTCACTGGTGCTCACCAATGAGAAGGGTTTGCCGATCCTCCACGAAGAGCTACTGTGTTCCTCTCACAGGGAAGCGGTAAACTGAGTTTACAAGTCCACCACGAATGAAACATTAATACTAAACTTATTGCTTGAACATTATTTTAATTCAAGTCTTTTAATGGGGAACTTGTGTTTCCTTGGCAGCGTGTCACTGCAGTGTCCTAGAACAACAGCAGAGGGCACTTCAAGACTAGGACATCACTCGTGTCTCTGCGGCTAGCAGCAGCTGCCAGGCAAGTTCAGGCGCTGAGTCTGGGCCTTGCCCTGGATCAGGAGCTCTGGACCAGTAGTTGACAGCACCCCTGAAGAGCTCAGGGTTGGAAGAGTGTGCCTTAGGCAACCCTGCAGCGATTGCTTATACAGACGCACTTTCTTCAAGAATGATTGTCAAGTTAGCAGTGAAGAAGCAAGCCAAGTCCTCACTATAAATTATTACATACTCAAGGACGTAGGTCAGTTTCAATGGAAAGTTATGCGCTGAGTAAAACATCTTCAGTTTCTTTCCAACCCTAATAGACGACAGATTTGACTTTTTAAAACTGAACACATTTCTCCCAGAATCATAATTTACTGTGACTTGAGAAGTCCTTTGCCTTTTATTATGCTAACACATTTTTACAAACTTGCTAAATTTTAAAACGTTTGCATTTTGTTCATAGCTAGAGGAATGTCTTTCTTTGTTTTGTAGAAATAAATCTGGGTTAGTAAAGAAGACACTTTAAGGATCTGAAAGCTCAGATCAGGAATGCCAGATTCTTTCTTTCTTTCTTTCTTTCTTTCTTTCTTTCTTTCTTTCTTTCTTTCTTTCTTTTGTGCACACAAGTAATAGAAAAATTCAAATTTTAAGTATCGTTTTAAGAGTCAGCTTGTGGCCATTTACAAATGGTAAGCAACCTAATTCTGCATGCGCTTTAACATTAGCATTGCAGTATATGCACATCCATTTCTAAATGCAGAAGGAGGCTCATCATTTGACTATATAGCCACTGCATGTGTGTATTCAACAGACTGGAAAAAGAAGACACAGAAACTATAGTCAGGGGAGGACCTAAAAATGTAGGAGCCAAAGAAATTCATGACTTTTCTGTATATGGCAATAATACCCAAAATGCTTTCCGTGTATGTATTTTGAATAGGAGCACTGTGTAACAACACAGAATAAATGTGCTTGTGCATCTGCAGGAACCATCACCAAATATGACGGTTTTAAATATTTTAATTCTCCGGAATTGAAAGGCAGGCTAGGTTGTTTCCTCATCTAAGGAAAAGACGGTGTATTCTGCAATTCTATGCTGTGTAGACTTTGAATATGAAATGACGCAAGTCGTTTGCTCTGTCTGTTACCAGGGAGCCCCGTTCATAGCCACACTGACTGACTGGTGAAAAGACGCTCCCACTAAAATGCTGTGAGAGCAAACCAAACTGTGCCACTTTGCAGCTCCTCGCTCATCTTCAGAGACTCTCAGCAGATACGCAAGACTGCATTAAGGAACGAGGTAAATAATAGTTCAAACAACATTGCTCTGCTGTCTCCTTTCTAAAAGCAAACAGAGGGATAAAAATAAAAAAACAAAACAAAACAGGTCCTTCCTGCCCAAAAGCAACTCTGACACCAGGCTTATTTTGTTCCACTGTTTTGAGAAGGGCCATGCTCTTCTCCTGGCCGCTCGTACTGCAGTTCACGTGACTTTGGATTATAATACAATCCTGTCACATTCAGTCTACCAGCAGCTCATTTCTGGGAGATCTGACACTCAGAGAAGGGGCCGTGGGTCCAGGCTGGTAGACCTTATAGCATGTCTGCTAGTGGCAGGCAGGGCAGTAATAACACATGAGCGCCTCACTGTAATTCCCAACTGTGCTGTCCTTTACTGGGGAGTGGGGAGCATGTGAGGACATCAGGACCAACCCAGGAAAATCTAGAAAGAATGAGAAAGAATAGCTGTATTGTGTGGGGTTAGGTTGGGTGCTTGGTGCAACCAAACGTTCATTTCAAGTGTTGAAGGCTGTACACTATGTTGGGTGTTGGAGGCAGCTCCACAGTCCTGGGTGTCTTATTGTAGGGGACCCAAAATAGAGGGAATAAGGAAAAATCAGTCAAGTTTGTTTTATTAATTTTCAAGTTGCATGCCTACAACTTTGTACCCAAAGGAGTGTGTGTGTGTGTGTGTGTGTGTGTGTGTGTGTCCGTGTCCGTGTGTGCATGCGTGGTTCATGTGTGTTGGGGAGGTCTTGGCTCTCCCAAATGGTTTCATTAACCCCAGGAGCCCTTTGCTACCTAGTAGGGCATGAATAAATAGCATTTGCATGTTTAGTAATACCAACTTGTATCTTTCTTGAACGCAGTACAAAGATCTGATACACTTTCTATTCTAGCAATAGTACATGCTTGCTATATGCCTATATCCTTTCCTCTGTCAAGGGAAATTAAGACATTAAAGCTACCCAGGTGGCCTTGAAAAGGGACCCTGAAATAAGTGCCTAACTCCCGTCCTAATGCTCATCTTGTCCTGTTCACAGCCGCCCTGAAATCTCAGTTCTTGTTTGTTTCTTGGATGGTAATTTCTGTTTTAAAAGCCAGAAAAAAAAAAAAGATGCTGTAAGCAGATTAATTCAGGCCTTAACATCCTGCCCCATCTGCCTCCAGTCTTACACTGACATTCTTCCCCCGGAGGGAGAAAATGACCAGCATGTTCTCTGTAAAGAAGTTTAAGCTCGTATTGTCCAACATCAAAGGCTGAGAATAGTAGATACATTTGTTTTTACCCTCCGTATGGAGTGTATTATCAGTCAAGACTATCCTCAGCTTCCCAGTGGATTTAGGTGTAATCAAAACCAGCACACACACACACACACACACACACACACACACACACACACACACTGCCACCACCACTACCACTACCACCAACACCACCACCACCACCAACCCACAGGAAGACCCTGCGTAAGCATTATCTGGCAGAAAGGTTTTCTAAACCTGGAGCTATTAATGAGCACCTGAGACCAGAGAGACCACAGTGAGGGTGTCACCGTTATTATAAACCCCACTTTTAGCTGAGACCCTCATTTAGAAAATGTAATGAAATCCAAGGTTGTTTTAAAGTAGTCCCAGGAATCTCTGTGGACATGGGCATGCTTGCTCCTTCCATACAAAGACACAGCACTAACCATCTTCTTCAAACAATCCCGACAAAACTACATTTGGCTCTTAAGACACTTTAGACATGCACAGTGGCCTAAGGGTAGAAGAGATCAATGAAACGCAATGTCAAACAACCCAAATTATGACAACCGCATTTCCAGAGATCAGCGTCTTTAGCCAGGTGTTTAAAAGTAATCTCAAAAATATTCTGTATAAATTATTCCCTCTATTGCTTGCTCTTTGGAAAATGAAGAAGCTTGGGAGACTTATTTAAAGATCCAGGGCTTATACCAGATGTATCTCCATGGGACGGAACAGTGAGGCATTCTGAAAGCAAAACCTCAAAACCAAATCTTCCTGACTGCTGCTGTTTCCCATTTAAAGAGATCACTTTGAGAAAGGATGAGGCTAGAGAAGAGCCCTTCATTTGGAAACGATTTGCTTCTTTTCATCACCCATCGAGTGCACGTAATTGGTTAATTGTATATCTATTCTGCTCTATTGACCATGGAGGGCCTGGCTGGTAGAAGGTGCGGAGGGCAGGAACTGTGCCCTTCTGTGAGTTCCTGTTCCATCCCCACATGGTGCCTGCTCGTTTGCAGCATGAAAGTGTGCTCCATACCTCTGATTTGCCCATGGAGGCGATGCACACATGGGAAGCAGTTACAGATCGAAGAAACATACTGACACATCTGTTTACTCTGGGTCTACGTAAATCCCGTGGTAATTAGCATCTTAACCAGCTGGGAGGGAAGTGGACCAACAGTGTGGCATGCATCGAGGGCTTTGAAAACAAACCAGCGACCTTACATGTGTCTATAGGCAGAAATGGCTCTTACAATTTGTAACTGTTGCACCATTTCTTCTCGGTAAGCCAGCTCCCTTTTCATCTGATCCTGGAAGTTATCTGGGGAAGAGAAGAACAGAAAGGGAATTAATACTAGTGCAGAACCCACATTTAGTGTGCAGTTGGTCCTCCAAAGCCTAGACTCCTGGTGCTGTGGAGTGAACCAACTTCAGATCAACAACGTAACAAGGAAGATGGAGTAACATCCACCCACATCTGCCTGTATCAGTGATGGAGACATCCACAGAAGGATTTCTAAAACCCTCTCTATTGAGGACCCCGTAGGACCTCTTTTCACCTGAGAAACTTGTTTCTCAGAAACTTTTGTGACCCACATATGTAGATATATAAAATAGGTAGACAAGCCAAATACTGATGATATACAAAATATATAATCCATAAAGAATTTTATTTTAAAACAACTCTGTGGTATACATCTAACTTCACAATTTATTGGTGACAAAATCAAACCTGCTACACAGGTAGATATATATGCTGGCCTAACTTTATGTAGAGTGAAATGTTGGCAGAATATTTGATACTATACGATATTGTCAGCATTTTACATTTGACTGATATTCTGAATCTTGTAATTATCAATGCTGAGAATATGGTTTTTACATAAACATGCACCACAAAATGTCAGATGTATGCTTTGGAAATTCTATCCTAATCCCAAACCAAAATTCATTTGTTTATTATTTTCGGAAACCCAAGTCAGCAACTCAAGCAACAATTTTTAAAAAACAAACATCCTTACACGATATAATCAAAAGACACATTAAATTGATCTTTATATGATGAAGAATGATGATAGGGAGGTATAAAAAAGTGCTCGGGTTCCTGGAAAGATATCTTAGAGGTTAAAGGCACTGACTGCTCTTCCAGAGGCCCTGGGCTCAATCCCTAGCATTCATGTGGCAGCTCACAACTGTCTGTAACTTCAGTTCAAGGGGACAGCACATCTTCTGGCCCCCACTGGCACTTGACATATATGTCAAGTGCATAGACATATATGTAGGTGAAATACCCATATATGTAAAAAAGTTTTAAAAATTTCTATAACTAAACCATTTTGTTTAAAGAGCCAAAACTTTGTATGGTGATTATGAAATTCAAAGCATGCAGCTCCTGCGCAGAGGTGTTCCTGTAGCGTTCCTTGGCGCTGCATGACTTGGTCCGAGGTAGTGATTGAATCATGCAACATGACAAGGACAAGTCCTGCCCCCAAAGCCTTGGATTCATTGTGCACTTGATTTTGAATTAACCTTTGCTCATTTAATGTTCAGAAATCTTTTACTGTTGCTCCAAATTGCGTGACTCCCACGCTCACGTATGTGGCCCCGAGTGAGGGTTGTGACTGACGGTTTGCTGTATTAGGTGTAGTCCAAAGTATGTGGGAGGATATCCTCGGGTTATATGAGAACACCAAGCAATGCTATATGACACTGGCACCTCCACAGAATTTTGTTATCTGCAGAGGGTTCTGGAGCCAATCCGCCATGGGTATGGAAGGATGAATACATCTGAAAAAATATGACCGACAGTGCCCTAGAATCTGCTACCCCTTTGAGGCCTCTCCTCTCCTGTCCTGTCCTCTCCTGACCTCACCCCTCCTCTCCTCTCCTCCCTTCTCCTCTCCTGTCTTCTCCCCTCCTGCTTTCTTTCTTTTTAAGACAAGATCTCACTGGATAGCCCTGGCCAGTCTGGAACTCTCTCAGTAGATCAGGCTGACCTCAAACTGTTGTTGATATTTCTGCCTCTCAAGGGGTGGGGTTGCAGACACATGCCACAGGTCTGTTGCTTTTCTTTCCTTGTAAGTAAACAATTTAGTTATTTGAAGATATATTCTCAACAATGTAACTTGATTAGACTGCACAGGAAATTCTGAGACATAAGAGCAGCTCGTTCCTTTTACAGTACCGCATCCTCCATTGAGTCTATTTCCTCGCATGTAAGAATCGCTCAGAAATGAGCAGTGTAGTTGGGTCCTCTACTTATGCATAGCACGGCGTGGAAGGCACCTAGAGTCTGCAGCGCTACAGCTACAGCGGAAGGAAGGGAAGGGATGCAGGTCATAGGGCGCTAACCACAGGGAGCGCTGAGTGCTGTGTAAGACATGGAAAATGCTTGTCCTGCTCCCATGCAACTTAGTGCCCTCCTACTCCAGGCTGACTCTACAAACAGCGAGCCTTCTCACCCCATGCCAGCCTTGCTGTGGTCTTCTTTGGTCTCATGAGGGCTGTAGGCTTGGCCACAATCCGAGGAAAGAGGGGCTTTAAGAGACACCTGACTCCAAAGTCAGGTGGAGGTGGCACACACTACCATCACACCTTTAATCCCAGCACTTGGAAGACAAGGGCAGGCAGATCTCTATGAGTTCAAGGCCAACCTGGGCTACAGAGCAAGTTCCAGGACATCCAGAGCTACACAGAAAAACCCTGTCTCAAAAAACCAAAAGAAAATAAGGAAAGAAAAGAGAGACTGCTGTGTAAAGTAGTATTGATAGTCTATGTGTTAATTAGTTTAATTTTACATAAATGACTTCCGAACCTACAGCACAGCATGGCATGCTCTCCGCGTGATGTTTTTTAAAATGCAGTCTTATCTAACTTGGCTCTTTCCCCTTATAAAAGAAAGGAGCGTGAATTCATACTGCACTTGTGACCAACAGGCGGAAGCTTGGAGAAGCCAGAAACCACCACCAACTTTTCCTTTCTTCTTTCTTTTGCCTTTCCAATCAAACAACTGGCAGTGAGCCTCTGTGTTCTCCCTCCTCCACCTCCTCTCCCTCCTCCATCTCTCCCTCCTC